TATCATCTTCTCTGTGCCTAGCAAGACCTCAGTCATGTCTTCCATGTTGATATTCCTAACACACAAAAACTGAGAGGGAAAGACAGGGCCGAGTCAGTTTAAAGAGAGCCTGATGCCCCCGATATGCACCCACATCTCTCTGCTCGGCAAATCAGGCTGTCTGGAGACTGAATGAGAGCGTGTTCCTCTACCACAGAAGGTCAGTAAGATAAAAATAACCCCCAAAAGCCTACATTCAGCTTGGAAGCACAGTGCTGAGCCAGGGACAATGATAATAGGAAAACACAATAGTTCCTCAGAGCAGCCCTAAAATAATAGATTATAAATGGGCAGAGGGGGAGGAGAAGGGATGGAGGGCTATTTTATCACTATTCTGAGAGCATTCAGAGGAAATAAATTGGGATTCATTTGACAGTTCTCAAAAGCCAAAATGTGCTAAATATAATGCTGAATTTCCCTAAACACAAAACATGTCAGCAAGAGTCCCTTGGCCAGCAACTTTTTAATATCTGTGCTTTTTTGCCCCCCTCCCCTTGTTTAGCCTTTGCCCCATGATGGTTATTTGCCTTTCTGGAGAGCTTAATCAGGAGCTATTAGAGACAGTCACTCTCTAAGCTGTATAATGTTAAAAGTCCATTAGCTCACCCCAAGCAAGGCTGGCAGGAGGGAGATGATGTACTTGCTGAAGTTGAACAAGCTATTTGCATGCTGAATATTTCTAATCACTGAGCAATGCCTGCAGAATCTGACCATTATTGCACTCAGCTGCCCAGTGACCTTTCAAACACACTGGCTTTAATACAAAACAAAGTGGCAAAATGTATCCAGCACTGAACCTGCAAAAAGGGACAGACAGATGTTTTTAAGCAATTCTAGGCACCAACTATGCACACCTTTAAAAAAAAAAATCAATAAATAATCATTAGCAAAGTCTATCTTCCCCTTTCCCTCTGCCACATTCACTTGCATTATGCATGGTTGCTTGTATTATGCATGGGTTAATAAAATATGACAGACGTCTGCTTACTTTTGGTCTGATCACAATCAGCTTGATCCAGCAAAGTGCACACACTGAGTTTCAAGCACATTTTCAAGTCCCAATGGACTTTAATGGGATTTGGGTTCTGTGCTGTGATCCTCCAGCCCCAGCCACCACCTCCTGGACACTTTTGGTCCGATTATCCAGCTGCCATGTGCATTCATCACTATACAGCAAGCAGATTGGTGAGACACCTAAATAAACCTTCTTTACAGAAATGTTTTCAGAGGCTGCAGCTGAGTGGAGCCGGGTCTAAGCACCAGTCTCTGGGGAGCAGAGCAATGTGACCGTCGGGAATCTCTGGCCTTCTAAGGCTTTTAAGTAGCCATTTTTCCCTGTAACCCCAGATTTACCAGAAAATGTAAACAACTGATTTGAGACCACTAGCTGCTGGTGGATGCTTGGCACCAGGACAGCATCTTGCATGAAGCCAGCCACCCTGTACTTGGTTTCGAGCACAGTGCCCACAGGGAGAGTTTGGGGATCATTTCATATGGCCGCAACACTGGCCAACAGAAGCTGAGCTGAGGGCACACCTCACGTCAAGAGTGACTGCTGTCTTTCAGTGCCTGTTTCAGTCACCGACCTGTCAAATTGTAGCAGACACAAGCATGTCTCACAGCATACTATACCCTCCATGAGGACACCAAGAAGTGGAAGGGCACAGAGCTCAGATGTCCCCGTCGAGCCCAGAACCACCATAGCTGCCAAAACAAGGTTGCTTTCCACTGGAACAAGGCAATCAGGGAAAGTCTAAAAATTTAGATCAAAGCCAGGGCTATTTCTCACAGTGACAGAAGGACAACAGAAAAGATAGACCATTAAAAAACCAGCTTTTTCAATGGCTTTTGGGGACTAGCTTCTATTTTGGGCAGTGGGTGGTTAAACTCCTGCTGGTATTTTGCTCAATCTCCTGCAAAGAGTGACTCTGATGCTCAGTTGTAGTTTTCTGGTTAGAGCACCAACATATCTCCAGGCTAGAGTATTGGAAAATGTGGAGAAACCGATTTATCACAGCCAGCCAGAAGTGACTGAGACTTCACATAACATGCTTGAAGGAGCAGAGACTGCAGGCTTTCACAAAGCTCCTGGGGCTGTTGTTCCCTTCTGCTCTAATTTGAGTACTCCCCCCCAACACAGCACAGAGAATAACCCCCCACTGGCTGGTGGTTTTGTCAGCTCTGCAGCAGCTCAGGTGTCCCCCACGAAGAAGTGGCAACAACTGGAACCAGTCAAATTAGCTGCTCCTCCTGTTGTGCTACTTGCCAGCAGCCCTACAGAAAGAGCAAAGGCAAAAGCTTGTCCCAAGAGCAGGATCACAGCCAGGAGGCTCAAGGAGGCTCACACTGAGAAATGAAAGTGGAGCCTCTGAAGAGCACTTTTTCTTCCTCCCCCCCTTTCTGATGCCTCAAGGCCAGACCCTCTTGGCTGGGACTCCCCTCCCTTTCAACAGTGTAGAAGGCAGTAATACACAGACACATAAAGAAGACCTTCTACATTCTTACACATGCAGCCAGCCCCTCACTAATCGTCCCAGTCCTTTTGCAACATCACCCACCAATGGGGAAAAGCCAGCAGGAAGGTAGCTAATGGGCAAAAGCAAAAAAAAATCTTATCCCCCATAGCAGTGGGTGCAGAACTGAAGATCCCATTGAGACATGGACTCACAGCACAGACTTGTCTCCTCTTGATGTCAGTAGGGAAGATGACTACATTGCTAGTTTAAAGCAAATTCCCTCTTACTCCAGTGTTTGTTAGATTGGCCAAGCCTTTAACCCCATGGGGCTGGGTGCTCTAAAATGATTGTGTGAAGGACTTTCAAGAACTCCCCAACAGCAAAAGCACTGCGGTCCCCTTGAAACTAGCAGGGCGTAGTGAAGAATAATAGGTTGTTGGTATCTAAACCCACTCACTACTTTGAAATCCTACATAGAGACCTATGCATTTTGCAAGTCTGTCCCAGCATATACTCAAAGGCAAGAGGTGACAATAGGAGATGAAGGAAACAGAGCCTTCAGTGTTCTCTAATATACAAAGCACACATCACCTCTCTGGGCTGGCAACCTGCTTCACTGAGCTATACTATATGGAAAGGAGCAAATACTAGACTGAGATTCAAAACCTACTGGAGATTAGGATTCTGCTTCCCTGGAAGACAGATGGTCCAGTCAGAGGATATAACGTTCTCTCAGACCCACCTGGGAAATAGCTTTCCAGTCCAGTAAAAAGCCAAGCCTCCTCTCCCCCACATAAAAACCCAACACACGCATATTTTCCTCATAATGCAGGACGAACAAGATGGATACTTTTCAAAATGTTTTTTAATTAAAACCAAAAAAAGGAGCACACACCAGAGCTTGACATGGGCTAGCCAAACTGCTGGTCGTCGGGACGTTGAACTGGCATGAGGAAGGCTGTGTTTCTGCATAACTCAGAAGCACCGGCACGGACACTGGGACTCCTGGGAAAGTACTCTGCCTGCCAGGCTACTGCTGCTTTGTGCTGAGCAGATGTCTCTCATGTGGCGATGGGAAACTTCATCCTGGAGCCCAGACTTTTTTTTCCAACAGACAAAAGTCCTGGAGACTGGGGAAAAGACCATTTCAATGAATCTGCATTTTCCAAGCACTTGTGGAGGGGATTCCCAGTCGGTTCTCCTGCCTCCCCCGGCAGGTGACACAGGTTTAAATGGAGACTCATCTTTGGCAATAGCCACACTGGTAGGACCCAGTTCTGCTTCCGCTGAAGTCAATACATGGCCTTCCCCGGACCATAACCGCAGCTGCACCGGGGCTCATTATCACTAGCCAATTGTGCTTTAAAGTTAAATCCTCATCCACTCCATCTAGCCAGCAATTTCTGAGAGCTTCTTCAGGCTCATGTAATTGTGTACCAGTAAATTCAGGTAAATGTGAACATCTTGGCTACAGCAATGGGGTGAAGTTTTCAAATATGCCCAAGAGATGGAGGAGTCGAAGTTTTCATTTTAAGACATGACTTGGGCACTAGATCAGGTATTGAAACCTCCCTGCCATCTAATAAAGCAGTTTCCAAAGCTGCTGGTGTGTTGCCCCACCAGCCTGGTTTCTTTACCACAAAGGCTGGGCTAAAAAAGTGACACATTTTTCATACACAATTTTTATCTGTTAGAATGGACTAGATATGCGCCTCATTTGTCTGTCAAATATTTAAAAAATACTTCAACCTGCTCTAATAATCACATTTTAAAACATGCATCAAGTTTGGATCAGAAGAGCTTCTCTGGGATAATCAGTAAGCCCAAATTGCTGATTTAAGGCCTAGATATCAGTCACTGGCCAGCCAGCCACAAAAAGCCACTCTATCCTTGAACTCTTAGAATTATTTTTGGCTGAGACCAACCCTTGTCACCATACATCTTATCCTATGCAAAAAAGGAAAGCGTATGTGTTTTTCAAGGCTACTGTTGCACCACAAGTTTACATACAAACACAACTTCTGCAAACATGAGACCAAAGTAAGATCTCGTGTGTCCCAGGGTAAGTCAGAAAGTCCACAGGAGTCAAGGGAATGGTAACTGCTGTAAAGGATCAAGCCTAATACATGCATTACAGAAGCAAAGTAGCTCCTTTGCTTGAGGTCTGGCTGATTCACTTTGCACATACCACTGCTTTAGCATTACATCCTTATCTAATGGTAAACCTGTTTCAACAACATGCAATACATATTAATGCAATATGCACTGCAACACACAATACGCATCCAAAGAAATATGCCAATGCAAAAATCTGACTTCTCACACATAGCAGGGCTAACAAGGAAGAGCCTTTTACAAAAGACAATCAAGAAATCACCTGAAACCATGAGACCCGAGGGGCCTCAAGCAATCTGCAATACTGAGACCTAATAACAGATGCTAATTCATGAAAGAAACACAAACAGTGGGACTGAGGTAATGGCAGAGATTTCATTAGTGCAATTAACATTTATAATGGTATGTTCTTTAATAGAATTTAAATAAGGCTTTGAATAATTACACACGCTAAAACTAACATTCCATAACCTTATTCCGCATGGAAAAGCAGCAGAAACAACCCTCTGGACTGTACAAGGTCCAATTATGAACAAATACATTCAAAAAGTAGATCAAAACAGAAACAACTCTTTCCCCCAAAAGCTGCATCATCATCATCATTAAAGTCAACTTTCTCCCCTAGTGTGAGAAGTGTGAAGAACAGATGAACTGGGCTTCAGCCCAGTAGATTTGGCCTCGTCAAATTACCAGTAGTGCTTTCCAACCCAGAGTCTCTCCTCATTTCTTTAGGGTGATGGAAGCTCATGGAAAAAGAAGTGAATTTCCGAAGCAATGGAAGGTGAGCTGTCCCTTCCCCAGGCCCAACAATGTACATAAATTATGGAAGCTTGAAAAAAAATCTACATTACACTGTGGCATGTGTGTTTACGATGCATGTTCTCCTTTAGAAACTACTCGCAGACAATGGGGCTGGGTGGGTGAAAAAAATCAAAGCAGCATATGAAATAGTAATATACTGTTTCAAAATCTGCACTGTCCTGCAGAACCAGGAATTATAATTTATTCAGATTGTTCGCAAGAGATCCAATCTACGCTGGATATGTAAAAAACAAGAGACTAAGTCATCAAGGAAAACCAAACGAAAAAACCTGCACACTGCAAGAGTTTTTAAAAATGAAACAAACAAAAAAAATCCCAAGAAACATTGACGAAAGCTCAGAAAAATTTATCATCAATTCTAAAGTGGGGCCTTGTGACATCATCTGGGTTAATGAAGACAGAGATGGACTTCCCAGGGTTCTCAGTCACTAGCTGTTGCAACTTTTTGGCTAATCGGTCATCCGGCTGGTTGGTGTCCCCTCCATCTGACTGTGGGGAGGGGATGCTGGTGGTGCTGCCCCGCCGTTGGAGCTCTAGCGTTAGCCGGTTGGCTGCTTTGACATGTTCGATGGCAGTTCGAAGGTGTTCAGCAGGGTCTGAGCGGACTGAGGACAGCTTCCGCGCATGCAGCATGACGGTTTCTTCAGAGAGGTGCTCCAGCATATTGCACTGGGGGATGAAGTAGTTAGGGCACATCTTGTTGACCAAGCAGTGCTGGAGATCATCAATAAGACCCAGGAGGAAATGGGCTGCGTAATCCTCCTGGGCCAAGTAGTTGGCTGGTAGCCTGTCGCAAGCCCACAGCATCATGCTCCGCAAGTGATATGGACTAATGGCTTTGGGGCGGGACAGCAATTTGATGATGATAGCTTTGCAGGCCTGATAGGCTTGCATGAGGCTGCTGGAGATGCACTTTTTCAGCTGCACTTCACTTCTGGCAAATGACAGCCTCCATTCATTGTCCTTCTTCCCCTTGTAGGAACACGCAGGCACTAAGTAAAACCCACTTATGACTTCCTCCTCTGTGATCTTCCCATCCCAGAAGTGGTTCTCCATCAGCCAGCTTTGGGCCACAGCTGGCCAACCCTTGAAGGACACCACAGGGACAATGTCGTACAGCATGCGGCTGCTGCCCACTCCCAAAATGATGGATATGATAGTCCCATTCTTTTCTACCTTCTCCACCTTTGGCATCCCTCGCTGAGGCTTTTTCTGGATCTCAGAGAGGACAATGCTAATAGAGTCATAGAACCAGTCTGCAACTTTTGTTGGAGAGAAGAAATAATTGGTAGCTCCATTGATATGGTCCACGATTGTGCAGCAGTCCTTCCATTTGCTGATAGTTCCTTCATCAAACAGACGCAGGCTCAGCCAGGAGTGGCACAAAGCCGAGTGTCGCATGTCCAGCGTGACTGGTTGGTTACGGTCATGCAGCTTCAGTGCGGGCACAAGCAGGGTGAAGTCCATGTCATAGTCTGTGCCTCGTGCATAAACATTCAGCTCATCAAGATCAATGTCCACCACACCTTCCCGCACGCCACCTGAAAGCAGCAGGTACTCGTTGGCTACAGGCAGCTTCTGGTCAAGTTTCTGAACCATGCCTGCAAAAGAGAGAAAGAGAAGTCCTTTCAAGAGAAGGCAAACACATCTGGGATACAGGATTTAACCAGGATTAAAACCCATCCCGTACCCAGCAGGAAAAAAAGCAACCAGAGGCATCCGTCACTGTGTGACACAAACATACATCAGGCCCAGCACTCAGTCAACCTTTAGTCCCAACTGACTTAGGGCAGGGCTTTCCTTGCATTCCTGGGAATGGGTGAAGTCTGTCCTAAACATCATACTGGGAGCAAAAAATCATACTGGAAAAAAGCAGAAGACTCTGGTAAAACACAGCAAAGCCACTTCCAGGACTAAATTTAACTTCTTAAACACCTTCTAAACCAGTTTTTCACCGTGTTGTTGCTCATTTCCATGGCATCCAAATGCTTCCCCGACACTTCAAAAAGAAAAGAGAATATTAATTGACTCACTGTTCTTATTTTCTCTGTGGTATAAGAAAAAAGCTGGACTGGCATCAAGGGGTTGGTTTGTGCATGAATGAATGAATAGCTACAAATGTTAGTTCAAGCAGGTCTGGTTTTATATTTTGCTTTACATTTACTGATGAACAAGGCAACATGAATGAAGGCAATACGTCCTCCTCTTATGGAGGAATGGAGACAGGTTAAACTATCAGGCAATTACAGAAGTCAGCTCTGAAATTTGTTCTTCAAGCTTGTAATGATGGTATCATGCCATAAAATATCTGATCAGCTCCCCAGAGCACAGACACGAAGACAGATTTCCATTTTCATCACCAAAACCAGACACTTTCCTTCACCCTGCACTGCCCACACCAGTTGCACAAAGCGTTTTTCACTGTGTATTCTATATATACTACTATACTTTCTTCACAGAACACAAACAGCAGACTGAGAAAAGACTCCCCAGTAGCTGAGATATTAGCATCTCATTCAATGTTCAAATTAGGCTTAAAATTGAGCTCTGCGCTTCAACTGCTCTGTAGTCTGCTTCTGCTATCTGGGCTGTTTCACTCCTGGTGTTCGTCTTGTGGTTAAACGCTCTTGATTCCTTCCCAGCCTCAGTTCAGACAACACACCTAGGCCACGAGAGAACTAAGGCCAGTGACTCTGAATAGAGATGCTGAATCTCTTATAAGCACTGCAAAAGGGATACATCGTTATTTCTTACAAGCACAAACGTACTAGTTTTTGTTGGCACACATCACTTACTCTAGGTTTTGAAAGGCACTATAGTTGTTTATCAAGAGTGGTCAAATGGAGACCTTCCATTACAATGAAGCCAGTCTTAGAGAGACATCGGTGGGAATACCTAACCAGAGGCATGATGAGGTGAGCCAGAAAGCTGCCAATCACACTGCCAGCCCAGGAACCACAGGCAGACACAATAGGAGTGTTTTTTTACTGAAACACTAACACAAATGATCAGCATTAGAGTCTGAGCACCTATCCTGGCATAGCCCCAGGTACTGCAGAGCCTTTCCTGAGTTAATGCACCCCTGTGGGATCACAGATACTGCCTGAACAGAATGGCTCTCCCTAGCAGAGTGCAGCAGCAGCATCCCAAGGTGCAGAGTGCTGCATGAGGCTGAGTGGCACTGCAGTGCTTTCAGAGAGACCCCCCTGTCCTTTCCTACATGCTAGGACAGGGGCAAGGAAACGCTCTCTGCATGCACACAGGTAAGCCAGGACCAGAACAAAATCTAAAGCTATGCTGACACCGATTCCTTGGAAGAGCCAAGGAGACTGCAGGAAGAGGCCTGTGTGTGAAGCGAATGTGTCTTGCGGCAGTATTCAAGGTAACTGTGCAATCCCCCACGTGAAATTCCTTGTTAAATACACTTTACCTGTTTCATTGCTTCCAAGAGCACTGGACCCAGTCCATTTTGCTGCACTGAACTGGGATGATTTTCCTGCCAGGCAGGTAAGGACACAACCCTTTCCATTGCATGCAGCTCCAGAGGCTGCAAGAGAAGGAAATGGCTCTGGAGGAGTGCTAAGAAACTCTTCCTGCTAAGTCCTGAGCTAATCCCATTCTGCGGTCTTGCCACATGCTGCCCCATTCATCCTCAAAGGGTAATAACCAAGAAAAGCTTCTGTCAACCTCAAAAACATTTTCTGAGGCTTAGATACACAGCAAGCTACGTTACCCTGATCTATGGAGTGACAAAGCCTTGCACAGGCTTCTCTATCCCTGAGGCCAAATAAGCAGCAGTCACTCCTTCGTTGTACCCAGAAGAAGGGGATTTCTAACGGGTGCCTAAATTGACGTGACTTCTGGAGACATGACTGACACACTGCTTCCAAATCCTGTCCTTGAACCAGTGCAAGCAGCCTTGGTGCTTTACACCCCAGTTGTAACTTGAGTCCAAGACCCATGAAGCAGAGTCTGGGTCAATCACATCACAGGGACAGGGAGCAGTTGCTTTTTTGCGAGCATAAAAGTTAGTACCGACCCTTACTGCGGGGCAGCACAGCTATTCAAGTTATGCAGGGTCCTGATGGCCCATCCTGCCCAAATTTTCCACTGACCCCAAATTTTCCACTCAGGACTGCTATCTGCAGCATCTGCCATGCAGATCTGCAGATGTTCCGGAGAAAGACAGACACAATGTAACTATCCTACAGAAGAAACTGTTCAAATCTATAGAATTCAATAAACGATGTATTTTTCTAAATATTTTTAAACTTGAAGGATGAAAAATGTCCTGTGAAGTTCTACAGTGTGCCCTTTGCACCAAAACTTCTATCCTATGGTACAGCCAGAACCTTTGACTGAAAAAGAAAATGATATGATTTTTCTAAAAGGTAGAGATTCTCCACTACGGAATCTACTGTGGGACAAGTTGCTCTTCGTGGCCTGAAGAGATCGTCTGTCCTTATGTGGGAGCAATAGAGTCGACAGTCTGACCGCATTCAATCAACAGCAAGTGGGATTCAAACCCTGCTTTCTAAATGCCCCATGCTCATCTCCCTGGAAAATAACAGTGAACATGTATCATCAACCTCCAAAGCCAGACAAGAGCAGGAGCCACTCCTCTAGTGTTAGTTCTGTACCATCTTACAGCACTCTTGCCTTCACTAATACAAAGCAAAGCTTGAATTGGACAAAGCCTGCACAGCCTGCTTTACTTCTAGAGGGGTTAAAAAAGGCCAGCTAGTGAAGAGGAGGCTTCTGTTCCTGGTGGGCAGAAAACACTTCAGGAAGAACCATCCTGTAGAGTCAGAGACACAGCTCCCCATGCACTGTCATGTAGGTACTCCCACAGAAGAGACACTTCTCTTCCCTATAGCAGAGAAAGAAGGAGAACACCAATTTCAAGCATTCTTGCAATAGGAAATGCTTTCTGCCCACAGAACACTCTTTACACTTCCTATAGAAAGAAAATGTTTTGTGCTCACCATTAAGCCTAGTTTGCAAGGCTGAAGACTCCTGAAAGGGAAAGGTGTCATACATTGCCAGTAAGTCACTTAGTTTTCCCCCTTCAGAACTCTAGACCCTCCAGCAGAGGAGGAATATTAAAAAAAAAAATAATCAGGCAATAGCTACAGGAAATGATTCAATATATTATCACTATGTCTCTACTTGGCTGGCTGCAGAGACAAATCCAAACCCTTGAGCTCTGCCTGGCACAGAATTTCCCCTTCAAGGCCTGGACCAGCAACATCTACAGCTCTGCCACAGAGCTAGAGAAGGGATTTTTGCTAACAGATCATAGCAGCATTGCTGATCCAATTTAAGCTGTGGAGCAGGGGGTTGAGATGAGGTCCCCTTGAGGAAAATATATTTAGAATAGGCATAGAGTGTTCTATAAATAGTTGAGATGGCCAAATTCAGGATTAACTAAGGCTTTAGGGGTTTGTAATGTGTTCAAACTGCCCCCCTCATTCATAAATCTATTTGAAATGTGAAAGGATTTCAAGGAATCCCATTAGCCAACATTGTATGGCATACGCTACCCTGGCACAAAGCTTTCATGCCAAGTTTCAACAGCCCAAACGCAAGTTGAGAGAAGCACGCGTACGTACATTAGAAGTAGGCACTCTGGCTCAGTAAGCATGTAAGTGCAAATACAAAGAAGAAAAATATCAAGATTGGTACTTGACCCAAGTACTTAAGATAATAGCACCAGTGGGCCATTTGAGTTCTCTTCTTTCCATCTCAGTACCAGGACCACCTGGGAGGAGAAGGGAGTAGGGGTTACAGATAACCTGGTGACATTTTTAGAAGCCCTGTCGAGTTGTCGGTAAAGACTGAACCCAGAACTTGTAGGGTCAAACACAAAAAAAATTATTTTAGCTGAAGGACCAGCTCTCATGGCATCAAAGTAGGTTCACTGATACTTAAGAAGTCTTTTGCTGCTACCAGGCAAAACACATAATGTGCAGTCATATCTTGTGTGACACGTTGTTTTGAAAAGGTTGTTTGGCAAAGCTGGTATTTCGCTAAGTAAGAGATTGGTGTTCAGTCACCACTTCTGTCTAAAGCACCTTAACGGAGTTCTGTTTTCCTAGCTGTGTAACTAGTTTAAGACCTTCCCAAGCTATAAAACTTGGCATTGTAACAGGTAAGTATGCTTACAAGCATGAGAAAAGCAGGGAATATGAGAATTAGGAGCAGCACCTGTGGGCCAAGCTTGCTGGTTAGTTTACTAAATAGTCAGTTACGAGTAACACAGGTGAGCAAATGAGTTCTACAGACTGAATTTCATTCCATTGTTGTTCCTTCAGTGGCAGGAAAATAGGATTTATTTCTACTCCAACCACTGTGATACAAGGAGAATAAAGACATAGAAAAGAGATTTTACTTTTATGTAACACCTACATTTGGGAAACATCCTTGAATGAACTAAGACTCTGATGCACATGACACAGAGATGGTTCTTCCCATTAAAAAAAAAGGAATGCAAAGATGCTCTCTATCCATTACAATTTCAGATTAACTGATTTTATGACTATTGCAGTGTGTCCTGGGATCTGCTGCTATTTCATGACCAGCTTTGTGTAAATAAGGAGGA